CTTACATTTTGTGTCTACTATAAAAAAATAAACGTTGTTTCTTTGATAAATTGCAACGATATTCAAATATGACTTCGATTTATTGTGTAAAAAACATTACGCTGATTGTAATGAACTAAATTTGTCAACTATTCATCATATATTAACAAGACAAAATTTGTCTGAAGATGCTCATAACGACAATGTGCACGGTAGTAATCAAAAGACTGTAATCAACTATATACAACATATCCTACAATAAACATTGAATCAAGATGTCTTTTTTATACCTGAACATTCAATAAAAGATAATATTAAACTCAAATGAATCAAATTCAATTTAAATCAGAGAAGACATTTTCTTCTAATTTAGAACATTTGAATTTATTTTTTAAGATTTTAATTTGATCAATATTCTGAGTTTCAAAACCGTTTTTGTTTTCTTGATAAAAAATTTCGTGCTTATTAACGATGAGAAACTCTGCATTTAATCAGAAAAGTGGAACAGCAAAAAGTATCAAAAATATCGAATATTTGACTAGCCTTTTTAACTTACAACACAAACATCTCTATTGTAAGTAAAGTTTACGATTATAACTATGGCTGAAAGTTATAACAATTTCAATATTCGACCGATTTACTCTATTATGAAACTTTTAAGGACATATTTTTAATTCAAAATCATGCATGCTTGATAAATATATGTTCAATAAAAATGAGTGTAATTTCAGCATTTCGTTCATAGCTGTTAACATAGAAAAAACTCAGTGTTGGACAATAAAGAATAGCATCATGTCATTTACAGGCAATGGATAACTACAGGATAACGAAACTTGCAGATGAATATATGAAATAATACTCAGAGAATAATCTATAAATACTAAGTTTTTGAAGTAAAGAAGAATGAAATACAAATATTTTAATTTAATTTATTAAATATGTTAATTAAATCAAAATAATTATTATTTCAACTTAATTAAATCTATTGAAAAAGTTAAACAAGTTAAAATGATTGATAATTACAACCCAAGCTATAATTATTTTAACTTTTTTGCCATTTTTCTCATCTATCAAATTTTTAAAAAACAGTTTTAACTTTCACACTGTATCTGAGATAGGTGAAGAAAAATTCGTGTATAAAACTCCAACGTTTATTTTTATCAAAAAAGAACAGTAGAGAAAAAAAATGCAAAATACGAAAAATTTCTTAATGCTTGTGTGTGCAATTCCTGATGCTGACATTCAAGTATTTCTTACGAGTCATACTGTCAATAGAATTTCGTATCTTTTGAGTCATACTGGCAATAGAATCTGTTTGTTGTTATTGTGGGAAAAATACAACGAGAACTGAATATTAAATTGGAGAATTCCACCCAAACGACTTTTATTTTCATGATTATGCAAAACGCACAATATAAAAATTCTGTTCCACTTCTCATTTCATTATCAATGGCTCAAAATGATATATATCGTGTGCTTATTATTGGTGGTGGTCCAGTGGGTCTTTTACTAGGTAAGAAATATTTTTTTTTTCGATCTTGATAATTTTTCATGCATCAATTTTTATAGGCTGTCTTCTGCGTGATCAAGATGTGAATGTCACTATGGTGGAAAAACGATCAGAAACTACACGAACAAGACGCGTTAAATTATCTGGACAAATTCTTCTATCAAACGTGATCACTAATGGTATTCATTTATTTTCTGAAAAACAAATGGAAGAACGACAGAAAGCTATTGATTCTATGGAATTAGAACTTTCTGGGACGATTACTAGTTGGCTCGAAGTGTGTACATCTATCCAAACAATTCAAGAAACGCTTAAAAAATATTTTATTTCATCGGGTGGTACAATTTTAGTTGGTGATCAATATGATTTTAGCAAAAATTTAGGTTCACTTCAGTACTATTCAAACACATTCGTAATCGATTGTACAGGCTATCATTCTGTATTAAGTAATCATATTCAACCAAATAATCGTATTAGTCTTTTAGTTGAATATGTACTGATATGCTCATTCATATTTGATGATAGATATGAATGTAATGAATTATGTAAATATTATAAAAATGTTGATACACAAAAATTTCATGTCATTCCATCAATCGATGATACTTATATAATGGAAGAGAGACAAACGTATGTTACAGGTTTAATTACAATTGATGAAAACCTATTTCAACAAATGTGTGAAATAAAACCTTTAACGTATAAGTATTTAAATGAATACCAACATGAAATTTATAATGATTTGCATACGTTTTTAAAAAATCTTTCTGATGAAAATACAAGTAAAGTCCGTTACGATACAATGGAATTCATTGTTCTTCCTTTACAAGCATATTGTGCTAAAAAACTTACACATTCAGTGTACGATAACAATCTTAATCAGCATTGGATATTAATGGGCGATGCAGCAATGGGTGGACCTTATTTTCAATCGATCAGTGTGGGTTTTGAAAGTGCTATTTATTTTGCCTATATTTTTAAACATATGCAAGGCAATGTACAACAAATGTTAACTAAATATGACAACTATGTGGAAAAATTATGGTTAAAACTTCAAATACATTCAAAAAATATTCAACATAACAAACAAATTTTACAAGCACTGTGTGCAAATGATCAAGATGCTGTTCTAAATATAATAACAATTTATTAATTTTCAATTTTGCCGTTGTAAATAAATGTTCGATATTTTTTTGAAAAATTCGATTTTCTAAGGGGCAAGCTATTAATGGGACTTGTGAAAAGAGCTGTTCATAAGCCAAGAGTGTTCAGTTTGTTGAGCGTTTTCACACAATAAATTGTCGCATCTGTACACAGAACACATGTCTATATATAAATTACAGGAAAAATAAGGTGTCCAAGACTGATAGCCATACAAGGAGAGACCAATCACGCATGAAAACACGAATTATAAGATCAGTAAAAAAAAACCATCACGATGAAGATGATACTTTTCATTAAAACTAAATGTGTGCACATTTACCGATATATTTATCTGTCCAGCCAATGGAGAAACAACAAAGATTTCAGTCTTGAAGTCCGCTATTTCCCCTCTCGTGTCCAGCTAATCATCGAGCTAAGTTACTTTTAACCTGTCAACCTAATCACTTATCTACTTCCCAAAATAAAAAGAAGCCGATTGTGAGGAAAATCTATGTATTTCAAAAAAAAGAATTTGAAAGGATTAGGAATAAGAAAACATTTCAAATAAAAAATCTGACCCAAACAGACAGAATACAAGCAAAGAAAATGTTAAAATACTAAATTTATTCAAATGGATCTATATTAAATAAGCAATATTTGTTTTAAGATAAAACAATAGAATAAAAAGGATTATTTCATTTACCCATTAATACCATTACCTATTTATTTCTATTCACTCAGTCGGATGTATGGATATGTTATATTTAAAACTATATAGTTTTCTTTCTTCATTTCTTCTATTCTATATACGCATTTGCGACACCAGTATCTATTTCTAAAACTAATTTCTTTAATTAACAACTAGATACATTGCTGTATGCAAATGTAGAATGCGACAAGAGTAAAAAACAAGGTGCAATAATTGTCATTTCCATAAATAATAGAAATAATTTCTCTTTAACAGAATACAGAATGTGTTAATTTTCTTAATGTTTTTTTAAAAATCTTTTATGTAAATTAAATTTACCTTTGTTTTCTGATTTGTTATTGATTGACTCAGAGAATTCCATCGATCTAGTATTACGTTATATTCAAGTAAAATTTAGAAATATTTGAAATATTTGACTTAACGTTATCAACATCGATAAAACACTTAGATTAAATGAATTGAAATGATATATCCAGTGAATTTACTTAATTTAAAGTATTCACACGGGTATCATATTACTAGTATGACACAGATACTATTGAGCACTTCGATACTTTCGAGTACTCAA